GCATGAATTAACAGGAATTTGCACAACTGGCATATAGCAGCTTCCAAAAGAAAGAAAGAAAGAAAGAAAGAAAGAAAGAAAGAAAGAAAGAAAGAAAGAAAGAAGAAAATAAATGAAGCCTAATTAAAGAAAGAGAAGACAAGGCGATTAAAAACAAGAAAAATATTATCTGGCTGCTAATACTTTACTTCTTCTGAAAACAGAGGAGGTCAGGCAATTTAAAGCAACTTGCAATAATATTAGCTGCAAACTTCATTTTTTGTATGTTAGACTTCTGGACGGGTCAAAACATTGTGAGTCAGTAGATGCCTGGGGAACAGACAGTGCGCAAGGAGAGGAAACATCTACTCTTCAGGTTCTTCATACTGATTCATGACTTTTCTAATCCAATCCACATAATTTGCCACTTTAGTGTAGAGACCATAAGTGCCACATTTTGGCCCCCATGAAACCAGTCCAGCAACATAGTAGCGTGCCTCATTTTGGGGATCTTTGATAGCATATGCCCCACCACTGTCTCCCTGACAACTGTCCTGCCGGCCATCCCCAGCACAAATCATATTGTCTGTGAACACGTAAGTTAAGGTGTTGGCAGGAGGATCTGGCCTAACTTTTCGGCACATATCCATATTCACCACGGGGATCCAAGCTGCTCTGAGTCTCACCGAACGTAGAGAAGTATTGGTCCTGCCCCAGCCAGCTATGTAGCCCAAGGACCCTATCTGTGGATCGTATTCTGAAGATGCACCAGGTAGGCAAATTGGTGAAATAGTGGGACCCATCGTCAAAGGGTCTTTTAACCTTAACAGAGCAATGTCATGATCAAAGTTTGTCCTGGAGTCTGATCCACTTTTTGCCCATTTAGGATGAATGAATGAAGCCTCTACCTCCAATGGCTCAGTAGTACTCTTGGCCTTTGGACCAATATTGAGCAACCCAGCATACAGAATTGGGCTTGAAACACCGTCCAGCACATGAGCAGCAGTAAGTATCCACTGGTCGGAAATGAGGGCTCCACCAGCTCGTGGGTCATCAAAGTAGATTTGCCAAGGGAAATTTCCTTCATTAGCAAACGTGCCTCCAAAAATCCTCCCTACTTCTTCCATACGTCTACTGGGAATTCCACAAACTAAAGCAAGAACAGAAGAAAAAAAAATTAAATGTGTGTGTGTATGTTTGTGTTTGTGTATCCTTTTAGACAGAAAGCAGAATAAATATCAGAAATATGTATATTCAATTAACATGGGAGAGAAGGCAAAAACAGTGTAGGTTCTGCTCCTCTATAGGCACAGCCCAATAAACCTACAATCCAAAACAAGGGGCCTTGGCCTGTATAGAGAATATTAGGCCCAGGGATATCCAAGCAAGCTTCAGGTTCTTCCTTTGGTTCCCCTCTGGGTCATTCCTTACAGTTCAATTGTTCTTTCCAGTGTCTTAATCAGGATTCCCAAAATGATTCCTATTTTAGAACTTCTGGTAGGGTTGATGTTGGAGGAAGGTTTAAATCTTCCAAAACAAGTTAAACCAGTAAGATTCAGAGCTTGGCAGATCATTCCAATTTTAAATAATTTTGAACTGGGGAGGCAATTTATGAATTTTCTCTGGCAAAAGAGTTATCAGGGAAAATAGTGTTATTTTGAAAATTAAAGAGAAGCAACACTGTTATTTTGTAATTGCAACTTGATCATGATATCCACCTTCAGAGAAAAGCACAGAGAGTTATATAGTAGGTAGACTATACCTGGGACACAAACTGGAAGCTCCGTTTTCCCTTCTTCGTCCACCCATTTTCCACTGGCTGAACACTGATACATTTCTTTGGAAATAAAGTAATTATTTGTAAGTACAATGCTACCGTTAATGTTGATTAAGAGACCAAAATACGTATCACAAACTCCAAAACAGATTCAATTACAACTTACTGTCAACCCAACAAAGTTGTGCTAAAAAAAAAAAAGTAATAATTATAGAAGGAATTTGGTAACCCCTGGAACTGACTTACCAAATATTTTAAGCAACACTTTCACCAAAAAAAACCCCTTTTGTTTCAAAAATATTAAAGACAAAATGTATTAATAGGTATGGTATACTAACTAAACAAAGGTTAGAAAACTGGAATGTGGTGAATGAGGTGTTAGATAATACAAGGAGATAATAGAAACTCAGAGAGGAAACAACTGAAGGAATAAGCAGTTGAGTTTTAAAAAAATGAAAAAAGGGGTTCCAGGGAACAGAATGGCTGTAAGGGGCAGGTAGAAAGAGAAGATCTGCTGTGTGGAGGCTCAGGGAAAGAGTCACATAGCCTGCAGATACTTCAGGTTGCAGCCTCCATTATGTAATACACAACAGCCTAGGCTTCAGAAAGATCAGAAAGGCCAAGGGAAAGAGTGAGGAAGAGAGGAAAATTGTTAGGTTCATGATAATCTTGTTTCTTTATATCACTAAGCTTGTTGTTAAACGTGGGTGCTCCAATTTTTGACTTCCCATCTCAAACCACCTTCCCAATGACAATTTGGTGGCTCCCAAGCCTACTGAAACTTCCTACCCCAATTCTGCCCTCCTAAGGGCAGCCACTGTGAAATGAACAGAATGATGTTCTTCTTAATTCCCAGATTGGAAGTTTTCAGTGGGGGGAAGAAAGGACACACCTTTGCCCTTCAGGGTATAATAAGGTTTGTGGCACGCATAACGGATAGTGGTTTGATACTGTGTCTCCTCCAATCCTGATAGGTAAACGACATCTCCATGTTTAATGGGATCCGGCACACCACAGTCTACAGCTGCAAGGAAAAAGAAGAATGGGGTGGGGGAGGATTAGAGTGGTTCACCTTTCCGTTTTCATTTTTCTTTATGTGGCATACATTATCATCCACCCCCCATTGCATTATTTGTTTAGAATGGCCCTCCCCAGAGAAAACTTCCATATGTGAGTATTTCATGTCACATGAAGATTTTCAAACTTTACTGCATTAAATGGTTGAATCCTTGTCAACTTCCATAGTTTTTGACTTTAGAGCAGCCATCAAGGATAACACTCATGCTCTGTGATTCATTCAACATAGGTGTGAGGAAAATTATATATAGCGGGATGTTTCTTTAAAGTTTCTCTTAGGTCTGGAATACATCTACTATACTTTCACTGCTTTGGTAAGAAGCCAGGTGCTTTCCAGTTTAAAATCAGATCTGAGCAGTTGCTTGGCCTTTTGTGTGCAGTCAAAACTATGATTCTCCTGTCTATGGGCATCTGTAGGGGGGCAAATGACAAAATGTGCATCACAGTGTCACAAAACAAACCCTGCCCCTTCTGTATGTTGCGCCACAACATTATCACCTGTAAGGGATGGAGCTTGTCTTCTGACATCACAATGCATATTTTGATATTTTGATGAAGCCTCCAGATTTTGTGGACATCTCTGTTTCTGCTTCTCACCTTTTTGGTCCTTATCATCCTGAGACCATTAGAAAGCACACTAGAGGCCATGAGTAGATCACTTACGGACACATCTGTATGCAGAGTTGCTCCACTTTCCGTTGCTTTGACAGATAGAGTAAAAGGATGTTGTACTGCCTCGTGGCTGAAAGAAGAATTCAGAAATAGCAGAGCTTGTGAAGATGACAGAATTAGCAGGGATGGCAAAACTGACTTGTCTGATTAGAGAAAGAACTGGTGATTTATGGATTTGATGATTAGAAAAGATAGATTATGGAAAGAAGGAAATTATGTTGTAACCTTAGAGAGAGGGTAAAATATAAATGCATTTGTAACTGCTGTCAAGAAGACCAAAAGCCATTTCCTTACAACCTTCCCTTCCCTTCCCTTCCCTTTCTCCTTTCTATTTCTTTCTTTGCACCTTTTTCACTTTTTCACTTTTCTTTACTTTCCTTACTTTTTTCTTTACTTTCCTTACTTTTTTCT